GGTCCTGCCCCGCAGCCTGGGACCAGCCCTTCAGGCAGGTCTGGACTTGCTTGCTAGAGAAGGGTGCAGCCAGGAGAGCTGGGTGTGGAGCTTGGGGAGCTGGGGGTGGGCGACCGAGGTGGGGGGAGGAAGGGAGCGTGGCCTCCCCTGCCCCCCACCCCCGGGGAAAGTGAGTGCACACGAAATAAGAGTCCTGGGGCTGGCCACGGTCCCGCCAGCAGCCCAGCCCTGCTGGGTAGCCGGCCCACCTCTGCGCCCCGGACCCCGCAGGGTTCAAGGAGGCCCTCTGTGCACCTGGCCGCAGCCGGAAATGCTCGGCAGGCTGCTGGCGCGGGGACCAGTTGTTGCAGTCACGTGGCCTTTGAGGAAGGTCATACGTGGCTACTCGGAGAGCCCCCGATGGACGGTCGGACAGACAGATGCTTTGCTCCCCACCCCCAGGTCCCTGGAGCGGCCGGCCACCAGCAGGACCCACCCTCTCCATGGAAAGCCCTGCGCAGCGGCCCCCCGGTGATGGCCTCGGACAGTGACGTGAAGATGCTGCTCAACTTCGTGAACCTGGCGTCCAGCGACATCAAGGCGGCCCTCGACAAGTCGGCGCCCTGCCGCCGCTCGGTGGACCACCGCAAGTACCTGCAGAAGCAGCTCAAGCGCTTCTCCCAGAAGTACTCTCGGCTCCCGCGGGGCCTTCCCGGCCGAGCGGCTGACCCCCACACGAAGAGAGGGCTGGAGGACCGGCCGGCGCGGCTGCCCGTGGACGGCCAGGTGCCCTGCCCTGCCGTGGGCCGGGGCTGCCAGGAGAAGGCTCTGGGAAACCCTGCCGCGGGGGGCGAAGTTCTCCCTTTGCAGCAGGAGCAGACCCTCCAGGGGCAACATGCAGCCGCCGCCCAGCCTGGCCAGGTGCCCATGAGGAAAAGACAGCTGCCTGCCTCTTTCTGGAAGGAGCCTCGGCCTGTCCACAGCTTCCCCTTGGGGCTGGAAGGGGGCCTGGGCCCCGGGGAGGGACCTCCCTATGAGGGCAAGCAAACGTGTCAGGGCCTGGAGCCCCTGGCACCCGGGTCCCCCAGGACCCTGGTGGAGGAGCGGCTGAAGGTGCCAGCGGTGGCCCGCGGGGGCCGGATCAACACCTGGAGCTGCTGCCCCTTCCAGTACCATGGACAGCCCATGTACCCTGGCCCTCCGGGGTCACTGCCACAGGGCGCTGTGCCGAGCTTTGGCCTCTGGAGAGCGAGCCTGGCCTCCCCGGCGGAGCTGGATGGGCCAGGCCAGAAAGTCTACCGCCCAGTGGTCCTGAAGCCCATCCCCACCAAGCCTGCCCTTGCCCCGCCCATCTTCAATGTCTTCGGCTACCTCTAGCCTGGCCAGAGGGCTTGGCCCCCACTCTGGGCTTCCCCCCCCCCCCCCCCTCCGAGTGGTGGACGGTGGGCAGGGTGGTAGGCCGCTGGGCTGCACAGTGTTGGCATGACCTCTCCCTGCTGTGTGGCGGGGGTGAGGCAGGACCCTCAGGGGTGGGTCAGGACACCAAATTAGCAGCCCTGCCTCTCCTGCCCCAGGCCAGGGTCCACGCCATGACCTCCAGGCCCTGCCACAAACCAGGGTGGCAGGGGTGTCCCCATGACCATTGCCTGCCCGGCTACCCCTGAAGCCAGACTTTATACCTGTCTGCCCGCCAGCACCCCACACACCACCCTCCGCTGTTATTGTTGCCCCTTGTAAATATTGAGAGAGTTCAAAGAATAAAGACATTTCTTTTGCAGTTTCCATAGCTTGGGCGTCTTGAACTTGAATGCCTCTGTCCCCCACCCCCACCCCCTCCCACCCTGGGCCTGGGCCTCAGGGCCCCATGGTGCTCTGGGGGGATGAGGAGTCGGCACTCAGAGTAGCAGGGTGAAGGGGTGCTATGGGGCTGGGCTCACCTAGAGGAGGAGGAGGTGGGACAGGGGGGGACCCTCTGTTGCACCTTGGAGCAGGTGCTGTGTCCAGGTGGTCCTGGCCAGTCTGTGGTCTGAGGGGAGGGTCAGGCCAGGCCCTTGTGGACAAAGTAATAGGTTGTGTGACCAAACCCTCCTTCCTTTCAGGCATGGCCGCTGCTTGAAGACCAGTGGGTAATGCAGGTTGCGCAGGCCTGGCACAGCGGCTGGCACACACCAGGTGGCTCCTCCACAGGCAACGTGGGCAGGGCTCCAGTGCTGGGGGACCCCAGGCCAGGGAACGGCTGGGGCCTGAACTGTGCTCAGCTAGCGGGGTTCCTCAGTCCTCGGCTGAGCGTGAGCTGCTTGCTCACCGTGTCCACACACAGCTGGTACATGACACACCGGCCTGGGGCCATCCCTGGCTGGGACTCTGGCACCCAAACTAGCCAGTGGTGCCATGCTGGACAATTCCTGCCTCTGACTTTGGTTCCCACATCTGTAAAATGGGTCATGGGACTCTCCCCT